CTCTGGGCAAAAGTGAAGTTTCAGTGAAGCAGAGCTAGACTTCCAAGTTGTTTATACTTTAAGACAAGGGTCTGGAAGGTTACCCAGAAAAAACGTCTCACAGTACAGAAAAGGGTCCCCTGGAAAATCACTTTCAACTCTCACGCAGAAGTATACTGCTTCTACAACTGTGTTTCCCCCTCCCCTCTCTGGAGGTCCACATTGCACCTTATGGTTTTCAGGCATATCAGATTCTGCCGAATGACTCAAAGGTTCAGAAAAGCTGGTCACCCATTATATGTTTTAAGCTTCCTATGGATTTTTGCTTGAAGACAACAGCAATTTACCTTAAAAGGATACCTGCTACTTTCACTTTTCAGTTCTTCTGGAGTGAAGATTTTCCCAATGAATCTTTTTGCATCATAAATAGTGTTCTGAGGATTTGAATCAGCCAGTTCTAGGCCATCATATCCTACATAAACATCTTTGTCTGTGAAAGATACTATACTTGGAATGCTGTTGTGCCCATTTTCGTCTCCAATAACCTTCACTTGTCCTGTTCCAGGAAGGAAGACACCAACAGAGCAATAAGTCGTGCCAAGATCAATCCCAATTACTTTTGGTGTAGGCATTGGTAAATACTGCTGTGCTAAATAGCCAGCTAACAGGAGAGCCAGAACCGCTGAACCTGGAACACAGATTTTGAAAAACAGGGTTAGAGTATGTACCGCTGCAAACTTAGAAGTCAAGGAAAATGGCATCACATTATACTTCACATCTTATGCAGTATTATTTTGCTCTGTGAAGCCTATTCAACTACCTAATTAGTTTTCAGTTTCTTCAAAGGTCATCAAGTTCAGGTCTCTTAACTCCGTCCTATTCCTAACCACTGCTAACCAGTTACTAAACTGGTTAGCTCAGATTAACATTTAATGCTGAAGAGTTTTAACAGGTTCAAAAAAGAAGAACAGTAAAGCCAAAAGTATCACTGTGCTATACTAATACTTTTTCTGTCTACAAAGTATTTCACAATTATAGGTTAATTACTAATTTGCTGGGACTCCACCTATGAATAATTCCTAAGAGAGATCTGAGGAATGAGGTCACACAAAAGCAAAGTGAAACAACAAACTCCTGATTCAAGTACTTCCTTTAACTTCATCCAAAGTCTCAAAATAAGGAGATACAAAATCGTAACTTCTCCTTTTTCAGTCATAGCTCCCAAAGAGCATCTTCCCACCCTTGAATCTCTCCCAGACAGGGAAGTCAAAATGTCAACTAGTTTTAAGTGCAGAAAGTGACATTTCCCCCCTCCTTTTGTATTAAATCAACAGACATAAAATAAAAAAGCCAAAATGCATGCTAGAGCAAGGCTTCAGAGAAAAAAAAGCAAGAAACATAAAGGGCATAAGTAATTTCAGCAGAAGTAATTTAAGCAGAAGTAATTTCAGGAAGATTCTCAGAGGAGTGGAAAAGCAAGCCCCAGCAGGGAAGGGCGGTCACAGCTGCCCTGCAAACAGCCTACTCAGAAACAACAGGTTTACTTTCGGCCACGAACCTCCCAAGGGATCTTTGGGCAGCACTCCCCACTGCACTCAAACCCCGCCAAGAAGAGGAAGGCGCCAAACGCGTAACAAAAAGCAGGGCTGTGCTAAAAAGGCACGCCGGGAAGGTGCCTGCCAGGGTGCGAGGGTGCTGCCACCTCCCTCCCCAGCCCCCCGGCCTCAGCACGGGCCCCTCGGCCCCGCAAGCCGCACAAGGGCACCCCAGGCCCGCTCAGACCCCGGGAAGAGCCTGGGCCCCCGGGCGCGGCTCCCTCGGCAGCCCCAGGGGCGCCCCCACCCCCCCA